TTTACTTATATTTTTTTTCTTCCCCCTTCCCCCGTCACTCCTTATGACATTAATCTTAACATTCTTTGGATTTTAGCAGAGTTCTGCTCACTCAGTTTTCTTATCTAATTTGATTTTAGTTTCTTCCCGATGAACTCTTTGGTATTACGTAACTGTTATATGAAAGCTGCAATTCTATTGTGACTCCTTTGACACTATTATACAATTTATAAAGGATTTTACTTCTCGAGTTTTTCTGATAATTTACGTTATGCGTTATACGCAAAGTATACTCAACTATATTATCTTTCTGAATTTGTCTTTCAAGCATATATAACTTTTGAGAAATGTCAAAACAGATTAATTGTTTACAATCAGGTGCTTGGGAAATTGCACTGAAAACGGACCCGAGGACTGCGGCAGATGTGATCACGCCATTACTGCAAAAGGTTTGGAAAGAAGGAAAGGTACCTACCGATTGCAAGAATTGGTGGCTACTTTGTTAAGCTGCCAAAAGAGGGATACGTAGGCCGCTCTCTGACAGAACTGGTTGCGTCACTCTGGAGAGAATGAAAGATGCACTGGATGTGGAGCTCCGCTAGGCCGAAACCAGCTATGTTTAGGAAAGGCAAGTCATGTGCTGATCAAATTGCAACTCTACGAATCGTCATCGAACAGATCATAGAATGGTAGTCAAACCTCTATCTAAAATTCATCGACTTCGAAAAGGCCTTCGACAGACAGTGTTGACCAGGAAGTAATTTGGAAACTGCCTCTAAACTTTGGCGTACCTCAAGTCTTTATCAACCTCATTCAACTGCTTGCTATATGACAATGCCACATGTCAAGTGATACACAACGGTGAACTTAGTGAGGCTTTCTAAGTGATTACAGGAGTAACACAGAGCTGGGTGCCTATTAACACTGATGACATTCTTAATTGTGGCGGACTGCATTATGCGTCAAACTGTGCGTTGGGGGTGAGAAGACAGGAATACGTTGGACCACCGATAAGAAGACTCTAGAAGATCTGGATTTCGCAGATTAAATATGCCTGACGTCACACAAACTAGAAGACTTACAGGCGAAAAGCAAAATCTGGCTGAAGAGTCAGGCAGCGAAGACAGGATTCCAAGTGAACATAGAGAAGATGGAGGTGATGAAGATAATCAAGCAACCAATAACAGCAACAATAACCACCAAACACCATCACTGGGAGAGATTTGACAGGGGTTACTTTCTTCACTTAACAGTCTAGGAAGCACGGTTTCAACAGCAGGGATGTGGATAGCACGGATGAAGATGTCAAAGTCAGTCAGGATCTGAAAGGCAAGATACGCCTGGATCAACCTAAAACCAGTTTGGAAATCTTCTACACTCTGCAGCATAAAGAAAAAGATTCGAATTTTCAACACCAATGTTAATTCAGTAGTTCTATACAGGTCAGAATCATGCACTGCATGTCACGAAAAGGATTTCCAACAAATTACAGACTTTGATAAACAGCTGCTTTCTCCGGCTCCATACTGAAGATCAAATCGCCAGCCGGTCAACCGGAAAGAATTAGCAACAAAAAAATCTTGCAGGTAGCAAACCAACCAAGATCCGATCGTTCAAAAAATATGCAGGAGAAAATGGAGATATATCAGGCATACATTGAGAAAACCATCGAATAACATGGCATGCCAGTCCCTCAAGTAGAATTGAAATGGGAAATGACAAGTGGGTCGTTATAGAGTGACATGGAGAAGATCGTTTGGGGAGGAGGAGATGGCAGATTTTGGTCAATCGTGGACCCAGCTGAAGAGGATGGCAGAAAACAGAAGAAAGTGGATATGTGCTGTTGAAGCACTAAATTCCACTCGGAACCCAAGAGAACAGTAAAAATACAATAATATGAAGAAATAGAACCGTAAAATTTCTTTGTTCTTTTCACCAGAAAATAATACGCTCTGATCAGAATATTTAACTTATATAACACCAAAACCTACTTCAAAACTACAAGTGTGTGTGGTGAAATTTTGTTATCATTAATATGAAGGTACTTTGGAATGATTTAAACAACAGTTAGCTATTCTTGAGGTTTGAAGCCAGACCCATCATCGATACATGAAGTCATAGTTCTTGCGCTTTCCAGCTTGGTATTCCCATGTGTTAAATGATTCATGTATTTTTTGTTTGTTTGAATATTTTGAGAAACAAGAGAAATAGCTGTGAAAATTGACAACGATGTTTCCACCTTACTGTATTATTTTCATCCTAAACTGTAAAATCATTGAAACATCTTATCGGATCTACTATATCGGAATTTAAGTGATTTTCACAGTCTAGTTCTCTGGGTTAAATAATTTTAAGTTGTAAATCCTTGACCCTTACAGTCTTCAGCAAAAAACAAACGGAAGTCTAGTTTTTATTAATTGGTTGGAGGTATTTGATGGGAAACTCTGAACCTATGACTCCTGTTTGTTGGCCTTCACCAGTCAGCAAGGCGTACCTACGTTCTTGAAGGAACTCATGTCCCTTCTGAAATGGTGTTGGTGCAGACTAAATCCTGTCAGTGTAGACTTCAATATGGTCACCATTCCAGATGACTCATCGTCGCGGTGCATACTGAAATGACATTAGATGATTGGAGGATATCTACAGGAAGTCCTGGAATTAGGGTTCGTGCTTACCTTGTTTTCATGTGAAAACGAAATTCGACCAAAAAAAGCTGTCTACACCTGTGTGAAAATTAAAAAAATACTGTGCAAACTTTACTCACAATTTCAATGAGATGCCTTAATCAGAAGTTTATGTTTAAATGTTATCTTGAACTTGATATTTCAAAAGAGGTATTTGTAAAACCATAAATGGAAGTCGATTAAAGATATTGGCTTTGAAACACTTAGAGGCCTGCTTAAATCACTGGGCCGTCTAATTTTCCACCCATCAAAATGTATCTTACCTACTATACTTTTTGTTATCTTTCAATTATCCAGTTGCATATCTAAATTGTAGTTCGTACTGATGCCATATTTTCAAGCAGGACTTAACCTAACTCTATGGAATTTTCAAAGAAAATGGAAAGAAAATCATAACAAGTTATTAGAACATGCTTCAGGTGGAACGATGTTGTTTTAGATGATATATTACCCATTGTTAATTTACTTGAATTTACTACACCTGGAGCATTAAAGTACTTCCCAGAATAAAGTTATTACTATTGTCATCCTTATGTCACTGAAATAATAAAGGTTCATTACCAAGTTTATGACAGTCCTGGAAAGCTGTTCCGTCCTAGTTTTGGGCTCTTCATCAGCATGCACCCACTGGGATTCGAACCCAGGATATTCTGGTTAAAAGGTGAGCTAGCTAGCTTTTAGACAATTAAACCACTGGGACTCTACTTGGTACGATAATGCTGCATGCCAAGCAATCCACATTGTGAAACTCACGGAATCCTTCTAGGTGAAGACGGGAGTAAGACAAGGCTGCCTACTATCTCCAATGAATTTCCTGACTGCAGTAGACTGGATAATGTGACAGACAGCGGGCAACGAAGGAACAGGCATAAAACGGACTCATACAGAAAACTTGAAGTATCTGGATTTTGCCGATGATATATGTCTGGTTTCCCACAAACTGGAAAATATGCAAGTGAAAAGCGACAAGTTGGCAGGAGAAGCATCAAAGATAGGAAGGACTTCAGGTGAACATGAAGAAAACAGAGGTAGGCGATGAAGATTCCTGGCCAACACCAACAGCAACAACAACAGAAAACGACCACCATAAATGGGGAAATCTGAAAGACGCAACGTCCTTTACCTACCTACCTACCTATTTGGGAAGCAAAGTTTCAACTACAGGCGGATGGAACTGATGAGAATATCAAAGTGAAGATCGGGAAAGCAAGACAAACTTTCATTACTCTCAAATCTGTTTAGAGATCAACAGCACTCAGCATGAAAAATAACGTCCGGATTTTCAACCCCAATGTGGAGTCAGTGCTACTACACGGATCAGAGACTTGGCGTGTCACGAAGGCCACTTTGAACGAACTACACACCTTCATCAGCAGCTGTCTTCGCTCAGTACTACTCAAGATCAGATGGCTAGCCAGAAAAGATCAGCTGCAGGGGAGATCTCTGGCAATGAGCGAACCATCCCAGCAAGAACCGATTGTGCAACAAATATGCAGGAAGAAATTGGGGTAGATTGGCCATGTTCTGAGAAAACAGACCATCGTGTGACATCACAAGACGGGCCATCGCTCGAGTGGAACGTGAATGAGTATCGGTGAGCTGTTTGTCAGTGTGAGGGTAACATGGAGAAGGAGGTGATGCAAAGAGTATATGAAAGCATGTGGACAGGGTTCGTTCCCTTGCCAACGCACACCTGATAGCAACCGTTGGCCTGCGAAATTTGGGCTACCGATATCACATGCTGAAAATTCCATACTCGTACCAAAATACGGTGTGGAATCAGGCTATAATCAAAATAAAGTAAATAAGAATAAATGAAAGGGCGTAAGTTGAAAAGATGTCTGCCACCTCCCCTCCTCGCAGCCAATCAGCCACGATCGTGTTTCACATACGAACTCCAATTGACCTAGTCCCAGTTACCGCTACAATTTCCCATCTAATACTTGCTGATTCATATTCCACTTATATCTTCGCTTAGATATCTACTCAGATCATCAGCTTTTTCCCTTTCTATTGTCAATACCAAAAAAGACGCCGCAAATATTTAATAATGAGTAGGTGTATTCTGATGAATAATGATAATAATATTATGATTCAATGTTTGATCAGTTTGAAGCAACAGGATTTCAATAGTTTTGTTCCATTTATAAAAAAGGATAATTTTAATCCATCTCATACACATACACACACACAAAACAGTGTGTATGATAATATTTATAATGAACTAACAAAAATATACTCGTGTAGTAGTTAGTGAATTTCGAATGAATTCATTAGGTAAAAATAAAATTTAATGATGACTTTTTATTGATCTGCTTGAAGTTGTCAGTTAACTGTCTATATTTTCAACCAATGCCTCCACTGAAAAAGAAGAAAAAGAAGAGATAACGATTTTTTCTATTAACCAAGATAATGAATAGGTGAAACAAGTTCATTTTTCATTGACTGTTTAGTCTTTAGAATTATAAAAGACAAGGCTTTCAGCGGAGTTACTTCTTTTTGATTGGACACTAGTAACTAGTAAGTAGTATAAAGTGTCTATTCTTGTCTTTGGTGCAAATTGAATTCTATCAGTCAAGAGTGCAATGTGGCCAATATGCCACTAAGTGGCTCACCATCACGGTGCACTGTGAATTGTTGAAATTAGATGGTTGGAGGCAATCAATCGGTAGGAAACCTCATCCGACCTAGGTTATGTCAGCAAGGCGTATCTGCAACCTTGAAGGAACTTCACTCCTGAGGAGATTCGAAACCGCGTCACTCAGGAAGTTCTGCAGTCACAGATGTTACCAATGAGCTATTCGGGATCGCGAGTGACCTCTTATAGGATATCGGCGATATCATTCTCAAGCTCTACAATCGCATATATGCATAGTAAATTTTCTTAGCAACAAAAGGAATATTTCCAAAGATTTATCATTAGAACTGTAAGCTTCAGATAAAAAATTACGTAAAACAGAAAGCGTCAGTCAGGTGGAAACTAAAATTAAATTAAACAAATAATTTGAGTCACGCAGTATAACTGACGGGATTGAGTAGAATTCAAACAGTATTTGAACGAGAGTAGAGTTAACAACAATGGTAATAAGCGAGTAGAGATTTAATAGGGCTTGGGGAAGGAAATAATACAATTAAGAAACAAAAATTACATATTTGGTGTTAAGAAACATAAGGCCTATTGTAGATTTAGTGACTGAAAAAACTTCTTCTCTATTCAGAGTTTTGTATGGGAATTTCCATTGCTTCTGCTGTCTGAAGAAGTTTGATTCGTACTGTTGTAGCAAAATTCACACGTATTCTGTAGATTACTTTGAAGACCCTTTGTGGTTTAGCTTGGTGTCTAGATTCGATCAGGTGTTCTAAGATAGTGCTGCGCGATTAGGACCTTCTTTTTCGCTTATAAAACGATGAGATAAGGTGTTCAACGATATGTTTGTATAGCAAACGCTGAGTATAGCTGACATATGTAGCTCTACAAGGGCAGGTGGTAGATAGATAGATATACATGGATGAGTCCAGCGGCATTAGCTTTTCCTTTGCCTTCATGTGAATCACTGGTCATGTGTAGAAAGTTAGTCAAAGTTCAGCTGTGAAGAAGATTTTGCTCAGTGATTGGTATAGGCGATTCCTCAGTATTTTTGTCTATCAGTCTCCATTGATTTGTAGGTTCAAGTAGAGACGCTTTTTGGAAGCACGAATTGTGGGCGGTTTAAGTGGTTCAGGTTTCATGCATTCCATGATATAAACGTCCTGGGTAGTCATTTTCAAGCAGAATTCTTTTTTGAGTGTTCAGCTCCTCTTCCATAGTGTCAAAACTGTAAATTCTGCAGATTCCGTGCATCAGTGAACGGATCAGGTTTCGTTTTGTATATGGAGGCACCCAACTATGTCAGTTAATTAGTTGTCCTTTCCATGTCGGCTTTGTGTATATGCATCTTTCTAGTGTTCCATCTTGTTCACGTTTTGTTAAACGAACCTCCAGAAAAGACATTTTTGAGTCGAACTGCTTCTCTAAGGTGAACTAGATTGCAGGGTAGCAGCTGTTGAAAAAATTCAGGATTTCATCCACATTCTCTTCCTAATAGGTGATAGTGAAAGTAATATCCATGTATCTCTTGTAAAAGCTGAATCTGTCAGTCTTTTTCTTTAGGTATGTGTTTTCTATTTTAGATATGAAGGCATCTGCAAACAATGGGCGCATTGGTGAGCCCGTAGCTATACCACTGTCCTATCGATATATTTCGTAAATGAAAGAGGAATGGACACTTAGAGTGCATCTCAATCGGAGTTCCTTCAAATAGTCAATGGGTATACCGATGTTTATTCCCTTTGAATCAATATTGCCTCATGTATAACATATTGTTTGAGTTGAGGGGACGTTCGTAAAAGGTGATCCCACATCTATTAAGAACAAAGTTGGATTGGAAACATTGATGTTTTCAATGGAGTTTACAAAGTCGAAGGAGTCTCGGAGTGATTGCCAGGAAACTTGCCTTCTGACTGGTTCTAGTAAGTCTACTATACAATGATAAGGTGAATTTGTTCTGTCGAGAATGGGTCGAGGAGGTGTGTTTTTCATGAGCACTTTTGATAATCCATAGATTTGACATATATTTGAGCCAGACGGCTTCAGAAATTCGACTCAGCGATTAACGCTTCTCACATCATGTGATTTGTTATCTAAGATTTACAATTCTAATGATTTATTTTCGAAAATATTCCCTTTTTGCTAAGAAAATCTGCCATATTTATGCAGTTGTACAGCTTGAGAATGTGATGCCGAAAATAGTATGTTTTCGATGACCGTCTTTTCTTTAATATGACTCAGTGGGGATTTTTTATCTTTATAATTTCTACTGGGTAAGATTAATTCCAGCCTTATAGTTGAGAAACAAATCCACCATTGGAAGTACTATCATGAATGCAATTGGTTACTCTGACAGAACTTACCAAACTGTCGTATACTGAGTGTATAAGAGATTGAGTGTATGTATATTAATGGTAAGCTGATTGGAGTACCATATGTCAACTAGCCCAGTATTTCAACAGTACCTTCAACAAAAACTCTGTATCGCTCTTTGAAAACAAAAGAGATGACCACTTTGTTCCTTAAGAGTTCCAGACTTTTTCAATTGTTGCTTTTGTATGGATTTTTTTGTTTGATTCGTTGCAGGGTTTTATCATGAGCTGACATCAATTAGACAACCATTGGAAAACCAGCTGGGAGTAATGGACAGTTGTTTCCTGTGTCCTAATTTGGGACTTTTCAACAGTATGCACCCACCGCCAGTGGTTCAAACCCAGGAAATTCTGGTTACAAGGCTAGCCATTGGATTCCGATCCATTGGACAGCCAACTCATGAATTCTAGCTTCTTCCAATTCTAATTGGTGTCAGCTCATGATGAAACCCTCCAACCAATTAGAATTCATCTGATGCTCACTAGCGACTGACTCTATTCAGGCAGTTACGTGGGGTTCTAGTGGGAAGCCATGATCATTAGGGTGGAGCAGGTTGAAGGTGAGGCAGTAACTCATTAAAGAAGACATTGCGAAGTGTTCGCGCTATATCATGAATTGGCAGAAGTTAGAATTCATGGGCTGGCTGGCCATTGGATTGTGTCCCAGTGAGTGGCTTAATGGTCTACGAGCTCGCCCACCTTGCGATCAGGAGGTCCTGGGTTCGGACCACTGGTGTTGGGTGCGTACTGATGAAGAGTCCCAAACTAGGACGTGGGAGACAGCTGTCTGGCAGTACTCCCAGATGGTTTTCAATGGTTCTCTCACTGACGTCAGCTCATGATCAAAATCTTCAACCGGTTTCAGACAATGTTAGATTTTACAAAACTTACAACGTTGGTGAAGTAAATATATCGTAGTCAAAGTCAAGGTTTGTCAAAAGTTGACCTTCAAGAACCAAACAGATTTAAGGAATGGTGAGGAAGTTTACTCCGAATTGAACCATGCCTATCACCATTGATTTGATGAATAAGTTCCATGAAGGCAGAGTGTTCAATGGACTAATTTGAGTTACAAGGACTTGTGGGTGTGAGGAGAGTATAACAATAAGGCAATGCAGCCTTGTGGAAGGTAGATATTGTTATAGATACAACCCATCCATTCGTTAGGGTAGGTAGGGTATTCTGTTTATTCACCTAGGAACCTACTTCTGTTAAGGCTTAGGGATAAAGTTAAGGGTAGGTTAAAGAACAGAATCAGGAATATCAATGGATTTCCAAGTTGCAGGATTTTCATCCACCTGGATAATACACCTATTACTAATGGTATGATTTCTATATAGATTAATCTTGGAGTAACTGCTAGACATTCCTACAGCATATGAGACAATTAACCAGTGTAATATCATGTCTGCGATGTTTTTAATATATTTTTTAATGATTACATGACTGCCTTGCGTCTAGATTCTGATTAGTTGTTCAAGGTCGCTACGCGCTTGACTGTGACGCTTTCACTTCGCCACATTGTGTCTATTTCGTCTAATCAGTGAAGAATCCAAATGCTCTGTAGGCTTGTGAGTTAAACGATGGTTGAAGTATTTCAAAAGTCCAGTTTACCGTTTTCTCCTTGGTGCTGCCCTCAAACGTTTTAAACTAACATGAAAAAGCTGTAAAGAACTTCCTAGTTTTCCAATTTTTTTTACGAAAACTCTCTATTGTCGAAGAGATTCAATTTGAATTTGTTAGCGGATATTTTATATACAACAATTTATTTATGGTAGTACGTCGGTAGTACAGCACCAGCGTTTATTAGAGAGACGTCAGTGTCCTCTACTTTGCTGTAAAATATGAGGGAAATGGGATAATTTTACTGAAATCTAACAGATTTTCTGATTAAACCAGATACCCCAAAGAACTAATTACATTAAGTCCCCAAAAACATCACAAGTTTCATTTTAAAGGAAGATATGTCTCTTAATAATTTTGTTTAGCAATCTTGTTTGTGCGTCAGTGGCACAGCGGTAGAATGCTTGGCAATTACGCATGTGGTCTTCGGTTCGATCCTCGACAGATACACTCCTTACCTCAATAAGCCAGTAATAAGCCTGAAAAGGAAGGAAGGTTGGATTTTTGTGTTCTATTATTTCAACATCTCATCAATCCTATTTCCACTGACATAGGATGAGATGATTGGAAGTCCAAATATATATTTGAATGTCTGGATTTCCTGTAAATACTAGTGTTTAACTTCCCATCTTATTTCCTTTTTATGCTACAATCTAACATTGGAAGCTCCTCTTCCTGACTTTCCAATTCATAAGTGAATTGAATTGCCTCCACCTGAGAGTTGATGTGTTTAAAAAATCTACCTGTATCCTGTGTTCTAAGTACAGTGAATGTGTCAT